ATTATTCAACCACGCGCCTATCCCACCCCCCCCCCCCCCCCCCCCGCCCATTTGCTGTAGGTCACTTTCAACTTTGACTTCACAACCAGTGTTTTGGGAACACACCACCACCTATTATAGGCGGCAAAAAAAATTAAGAAACCCTATTGTTACACATAAGACAGGTGGACAATAGAAGTCATTCATTTCACCTCTTGTCTGTGATGCTAGGCGATTGTCGACAGTGCCTTCAATTGAGAAACATCTTGGACGTTTATATTGAGTCTGCTGTGCCTGACAGTGTTCCCAATCATCCTCCATTAGTTTGCAACTTACAGATCCCACTTTCTCAACTTTGGAAGAAAGTTAACCTTGGGTGATAGGGCGGTATGATGGCTCAGTAGTTATCACTGCTTCCTCACAGTACCAGGGACCCAGGTTCAATTCCACCCACTGGCGACTGTGCAAACTCCACAAAGACGTTCTCCCTGAGTCTGTCAGTTTCCGCCAGGTGCTTCGGTTTCCTCTCAGTCCAAAGATGTACCGGTTAGGTGGATTGGCCATGCTAAATTAGCCTGTAGTGTTCAGGGATGTGTAGGTTTAGATGTGTTAGCCAGGTAGCCATGGCTAGTGCAAGGTTATAGGGTAGGGCTATGAAGCTGGGTGGGATGCTTTCTGGAGGGTTTGTCCTGTTGGGCTGAATGGCCTGTTTCCACACTGCAGGGATTCTAGTCGATGTATTGGACAAGTGAAACTTTGAGCCCCCACTAGAAAGCGACACAGATTTCAAAACCAACTTTTTAAACTAATCAAATTAGTTTGCAGCCTTGTTCCAATGTGTGTTGAATGCTAATCCGAATGTTGAATGACTTGTGTTAATAATTTCGTTGTGGGGGCTGGGGTGGTGGTTTGTCTTTTCCTACAGTTGTCAGTGTACTAGTTAATAATGTAACTGCAGAATATTTTTCCAAATTCCTAAGTGCTTTGGAATGTTTAAAAATACTTAAATACTGTACTTGAGCTCATATATAAAGTAGGGTGCCTTTACTGTTGTGCTGTTTGTGGTCTTATACTTGTTCAAAATAATTGTTTAGATGGCTTACAATAACTTGAACAGTCCTGCCAACTGATACTTTCATTTATATTTAGTGCAAAAGCATAATTAGTTTTGCCCGTTCTGTTAAAGAGAAGGAATTCTACTTTACACTTTGTAGATATATGGAATGCTTTCATAAATGTTGACCATGATATTTAAGTTTTCCTTGCAGCATCAATCCAAGCAGGGTGAAATTCAGTGTGGACATATTGTATGATAATTGGAAAGATATTTCCAATAACTAGTTACTTTGCTGGATGATCTAGAGACACCAACTGCTCTCAGTGAAATTATTCATGCTTTCTTCTAGTGTTTTGTCTTCTAAACTATTCAAGCATCCACTAATAACTTTGAGCAAGATGGACATCAGAGGTGCTGTGGATGCTGCAGTTCCTACCAATATTATTGCTGCAAAGGCTGCAGAAGTTCGAGCAAATAAGGTTAACTGGCAGTCCTACCTTCAGTGAGTATAAAGAAATGGTTTAATTTAATTCACAGCAGTGTCCACCATGGACAAAAGCACTGTAATTAAAAATTATGAAGGAGAGGCGCAGATTGCCATGCGATAATGCGGTTGCAGCGATCAGAAACCTGGCACAGTAGGAGTGACTAGGTGTTATGAATTCCTGGATATGTGGTGTTCAGGAAAGTTAGGGGAGGATGACAAGCTGGAAAGGTGATGTTGCTATTGATTTTAAGAACAGCATTGCAGCTCTGGTGAAGAAACAAGTCACAGAGGGGTCAGAGAGAGATTCTCGCTCAAGCCATAGAACAAAAAAAAAAAAAAATTTCATTGCTTATGTAGCCTATAGACCACCAGTAAATGGAAAGGATGCAGAAGCATTAAATTTTCTGGGAAAGTAAAGAGGTGCAGTAGGTACGGTAATGTGGTGTAACAAGAAAAGATGCACTAGTAGACTTGGGACTCAGATGGAAGAAGTAACTGAGTCAGTAATACATTTAGGTGATGGTGATCATGATATCGTAAGATTCAGGTTGGCTGTTGAAAAAGATAATTCTTATTCTGGATTGGTCATTATCTGAGGGAAAGCCAACTTCAATGAGGTAAGAAAAGGATTTAAGCCAGATAAATTAGAATATAGGACTAGCTAGATTTATATCTTGGGCAAAGAAAATGCTTGTTTTTTCCTTCGCAGAGCAGGTGGGAGCTATCTTTCAATTTAAAGACCCAGTTTGTGTTTTGAAGTTTGAAGATTTGTCTAGCTTGCACTTGGAAGAAATCTGTGGTGTAACCGCCACAGTCTGGAGTTAGAAGTAAACCGGTTATGGAAGTATGAAAGCAGCAACCCACTGGAAGTTGGGCATAACTGTGAATTGTTTTTTAACAAGGTTTGTTATTCTGGGGAGAGTGATTGGGACCAAATTTTAATTCTATAGTTTAAAGTAAATCTTTCCGATACACAATAACGTTTTGGTTATTTGATGCTATAAGCATTATTTTAAAAAGCAAAACTTCTTGTCATCTCACTTAGCTGGAAGTATGAATTTATCTTTATTGATCTACACAGGGATCATAACATTGCATGTTAATAATAATTCAGAGCATTATTTGCTGACACTTGTGCTTTTTTTTCTAAGAGGACAGATGATTTCGGGTGAAGATTGTGAATTCATTAAGAAGTTTGAAGCAGCTCGTTCGGAAGATAAACAACGGATACTGGATAATGAAGGCCACCAGGTAAATTCTGAAATTGTGTATTTATTTATTTTCTGTTGAAAATTTAATGTTTGTACTTGTTAAAGCAGATGATTTTCTTGCATTGAGTGGAATATATTTTTACTTTGTAATCCAGTAACCTTTTGATAATACTGACTAGTAACAGAGAAATTTTAAACATGAGTTCTTTGCTGTGCTATAGTGAATTTCCCGTTTTTATATAGATTTTTCTTCCTAAGTTCCCCTGCCTTCATAACTATTGTTTTCAAAAATAAAACAATGATGCCACCTGAAGGCTGCAGGAACAGCATCTCATATTTCGCTTGGGAACCCTGCAGCCCAATGGTATCAATGTGGACTTCACAAGCTTCAAAATCTCCCCTCCCCCAACCACATCTCAAAACCAGCCCCGCTCGTCCCTGCCTCCCTAACCATTCCTCCCACCCGCTAGCCTCATCCCGCCTCCTTGACCTGTCTGTCCTCCCTGGACTGACCTATCCCCTCCCTAACTCCCCACCTACATCACCTTTACTGGCTCCAACCTCGCCTCTTTGACCTGTCTGTCTCCTCTCCACCTATCTTCTCCTTTATCCATCTTCTATCAGCCTCCCCCTCTCTCCCTATTTATTTCAGAAACCCCTTCCCCTCCCCCATTTCTGAAGATGGGTCTAGACCCGAAATGTCAGCTTTTCTGCTCCTCTGCTGCTTGGCCTGCTGTGTTCATCCAGCGCTACACCTTATTATCTCAGATTCTCCAGCATTGGCAGTTCCTACTATCTCTGTAACTTCTTAACACCAATGTCTTTCAGCAATCAACCTGGATCTAGTACTACTAATCTCTAATTCCAAAATTGGCCTGTTTCTGTGCTCTACTGTTTGTTGTACGTTTTTGTGTGCTCAGTAATGGCAACTAAATTGTTGTTGTCACTCCGTACAAGAATGTATTTAGTAGACTATTTCTAAAACTCGGTGGTGTGCTGCTGAGGAATGAAGTTGGGTTTCACTGAAATATTTTAGTTAACCTGGTCTGGATGATTACAATTGCTTTTGCATTACAGTCTAAAAAAATCATCTATTCTTGTTTAGAACATGCAGAAATTGTCAGACTTTGAAAACTGCCAATTTTTTTTTCTTTAACATGTAAAAATCCACCTTCAGATCTCTATCTGAAGGCAGTTCTGACCCCCATTGTTGTGATCTCCACCAGGAAGCTGATCTTGAATGTGCCTTAGCAGGTTAGAAATGTTCTGTTGACAGAAACTTGATCCACACAAATGACCCAGCTGGATTAAAATTTTAAAGTTTAGCAGTTAACTATTAGTCGTTACAAACTGGCAAATTTATTTGTAGAGCATTGCAATGGACAAAGTTTACTTGCCAACTAGTCAGCAGTCTCCTTTTCTACCATATAAATGATTTTTCCTCTCTACTTTGGTAACTCTTGTGAATTGACCTGATGAGTGCAAGAGAAAAGGCTTTGGGCAAGCTTTTTTTTTTTAGCAATACTTGGGTTTCTGTATTATCAAACTGGACCCAAAACGTTAACTTTATTTTCTCCTCCACAGATGCTGCCAGACCTGCTGAGCTTTTCCAGCAACTTTGTTTTTGTTCCTATCAAACTACTACATGCATTTAGCTACATGCTAATACTAGGAACCGTGAATTGTAATGGCAGTGGTTCAAAACTTTTTTTTTTTCCCATCGCGTAGCTGACCAGAATCTCTCTTGCTCTTACTGCCTGCTATTGGCCTGTGTTGGAAGGATTTACAAGTTAGTAATCTACCTGTTAGGTGCATTTATAATACAACCATCCTTGGCCATCAAGCCCCTTGAGTGAGCGTTAAACATGGACCTTCTAACTCTGGCAAGGCCATTACCACTGTGCACAAGACCTCCATATAAAAGTTAGATTTGTTTTATTTCATTTGTTGAAAAGTTGTAATTTTGAGGAACGTGAATAGTAGGGAAGTGGGGAAAAAATGGAAGGCAGCCGGGGCAATGCATAATTTTGGAGTCTTTCACACTACAAAAGTACACAAATATAAAATTTCTGTTTTACCTCCTTTGCCCTTGTGGATTTCAAAGCATTAATGTGCATTCCATCTTCTATTAGGAAAATAAGTTCATTTTTGCTATTCTTTTACTGCATAAATAACTTTTGATACTGTTCTTTCTTGATGTTTGGGGGGAAAATCTTAAGTTCATAACTAAAGTCAGACTTGGTTCATGATTGTTCAATGTCATTGGGGCTACCATTAATTATATTTTGGGAGGAATGCACTGTCACTGTTTGTGTAGTTTAGATATGTTTTCAGTGGTGTACAAGTGAATGTGCTACTTCAATTTTGAAACCAGTTAAAACTGTGTGTAAAGATTATAAATATGTTTGTTTTAGTGCGCCAAAACCTTTTTGAACTTAATGGCCCACATTTCCAAGGAGCAAACAGTGCAGTACATTCTGACGATGATTGATGACATGCTACAGGTATGTTTACTATTGCTGGATATGTTTTGAGCATTGCCTGTTTGTTTCAAAATATTCGAGGACTCTGCTTACACAATGTTCAGGAAGCGATCCAAAGACTCATGACTCTTAGAAAATTTCTCGTAATCTTTGTTTTAAATGGGTGACCCTTGATTTGTAAACAGTGATCTTTAGTTCTGTGCTCTGCCACAATAGGAAACATCCTCTCCACATCTATCTTGTGAAGACCCCTCAGGATCTTGTAGTTCAAGCAAGTCAACTTTTTGTATTCTGAACTTTAGGTACATAGATGATTAATCTGTTCAACCGTTCCTCATAAAATAACCCTTGAATTAAGACGTTATTTGGTGACCCTTCTCTGAACTGTCTTGAATATATTCGTATCCTTAAGGAAGGAGACCAGTGCTGTACACAAGCATCTCACCACCACCTACCTATGAGCAGTTAAGATGGGCATTAAGTACTGATCCAGCCAATGGTGCCCACATCCCATGAGTGACTAAAACAATGTTGATTATTACTATCTGCTCCCTCAAGTGATTTCTTGCCTTTATTATTTCTCAATCGTACCTGAACTGTTTGTGTATTTTATTTGCCTGAATTTGTCATTGTTCTCTAAAGAGCAAATACCATCATTAACAGAGCTACTGCTCTATTTATTCCTAGCTTTGTCTTTCCTAAACATCCTGTACTCTTCAAGATTTTCCAATCATGACATTCTGTAGTCATGTCTCTGTAATGGCTATTACTTTATTTGTATTTGTGCTCCCAGTTCACCTGTTTTTATTTCAAATGATAGATCTATTCAGACAGTCCTTCAGTTTTACCCTTTTAAGAAATTTTAATCTATTAGTTTAATCTTAGATTTTGTACTCTGACCTTCCTTGCCAGGGTGTATCTTTTCCTGAATTAATACCTTTCTCTTTAGCTTTGATTATCTTTGATTTGTTATGTCTTTCACAATTTGACCCCTTGGTCCACCTTTTTGTTTGAAACCTCTCTACTTCCATAATTATATAGTTTATAAGAACAATGGCTTAAGGATGGTTCAGATGGAGTTTGTCCCATTGGTATAGATCACACTTTTTGTCTAGCACTGTTGCTAGTGCTGCATAAACCAGAAACCAGTTCTCCCACACCAGTCCTTGAGTCACACTAATCTGATGTTTTTAGTGTAATTTTCCCAATTTGATTTTCCCAGTGCCAGTAAAGAATCATAGAATCCCTACAGTGTGGAAACAGGCACTTTGGCCCAACAAGTCCACACCGACTCTGAGCGTCCCACCCAGATCCATCCCCCTATAACCCACCTAATCTATATATCCCTCAACACTATAGGCAATTTTCCATGGCCAATCTACCTGGCCTTCACATTTTTGGACTATGGGAGGAAACCGGAGGACACGCATGTGCAATCTCCACACAAACAGTCGCCCGAGGGTGGAATCGAACCTGGGTCCCTGCCGCTGTGAGGCAGCAGTGCTAACTGTGCCTTAGGCAGTATTCCAAAGATGATGATCCTCAGTCTTACTGCTTATTTTGGCACCTGGCTCCTCATTCTGACCAAGCAGAACCTCCTTTCTTGCTTGTGTCCGGTGTCTGCATGGACTAGGCTGACTCAATTCTCTGAAGCTCTGCCATGTCCTGAATCTTGCACGAGGCAGGTGACAGGGTCAGAACTTAAGTACTTTGCAAAGAATGGTGTCAATTCCCCTCAGTATATTTTCCTTGACTACCACTTTGTTGCTTCTTACTCTCGTCCATCGAGCCATTTCGTATGCCATGGTCAGTTAGGTCATCCAGCATCTAGCTTTTTTGCAAATGAGCTGGATAAACCTCCAACCTGTATCCAGTTTCAAAAGCTAAGGCACCTGTGGTCTTGCCCTCTGTCCCTTTTACCTGCCTTACTCATGTCACTCTCTCCTTCCCTGAGCACTAACCAAATCTGACAACCCATCCCTAAGAAATGTGACTGCCTCCTGGTACAAAAAATCCAGGTAACTTTTCCCAATCAGCCTCCAGCCTGTAAACTGAGCTGAAACAATTCAAAGTTCAAACATCTTTGCTTTGGACCAAACTACCACCCAGGAGCTCTTGCATGTTGTAACTATGGCATATCTCCTGTCCTCCCATCCTTAATGTGCTCTGAGGACCTACTCTAATACATGATTGAATGGAATAATTACCAGTGTTTTTATATAGCTTCTTAAACTCGCTACTGGTTGCTATATTGTGTTGAAACTTGGATGTGGAATTAACCTTAATCACTTGCCGAATACTCACCAATTGCTAGCTGCTTCTCTGTAGCCTGGAAGAATCTATTACTAAGGATGGTAAAGTTTAGAGAAAACAAAATCCACAGAGCACCTCTTTGCCTTCCTCCTCTATGTCCGTTAATTACCTAACTGTATTGTTAGTCACACTAGATTTATATGCCTAAAACATAAGGTCTAGTTGACTCTTGATGAGGATCCAGTTTCAGCTGATTTTTTAATTAGGCCCAGCTGTGCTTCCACTTAAGGCCTTATTAAAAGCCTTGCTTTAGTCTGGGACTTGCAGAATTTAAACTGGAGAATTCCCCTTTATAATGCTACTTGTGTGGTACTGAAAAAACCAGCTCCCAGCTCTGGTTACAGTAAATTACTTATTGATCCGGATAGAGTAAGGGTAAATAATCATCTATTCATAATTATCAGTTAACTGTCATAAATGTATCACTATCAGTTTACCAACTATTACTTGTAGAGACCAGTGCTGGGGTCTGCACAATTTACAATCTGTGTGTGATTTGGATGAAGTGACTGAATATATGGAAGCTGAATTTGCTGATGATTGAGATGGGTGGAAATGTTGTCAAATGGCATTAGGGAAGCAAGAGGTGTAATAAGTGAGTGGGTAAATTTGGTAAGTGATGCACAACGTGAATACGTGCACTTGTTTGTTTTGGGTGGAAGACTTGAAAAGCAGAATATTGTTTGATAGGAGAGGAACTGTAGGACTCTTCGATTCATTTACCAGGACACCCAGGTCACACTGCTTCAGCTGTGTGGGCCCATCAAATGGTTAGGAAGAAAGCCAATGATTTATATTCTTTACAGGCAGAATCACATTGCTTGTAAAGCTATTCTGGACTTTGGTTAGAGTATATACGGAGTATTGTGTGCAGCTCTGGCCTCCTTATTTTAAGAGAGGATTATAATTGTTTTAGGATCAGGTCAGATGAGATTCATTCACTTGATTCCTGAGATGAAGGAGCTATCTTAAAATACTGAGCAGATTGGGGCCTCACCCATTGGGGTTTAGAAGAATGAAAGGTGATCTTATTGAAAAATAAGATTTTGACACTACTTGACAAGGTGTATCCTGAGAGGATGTTCCCTCTGTTTAGGGAGCTTAGAACTAGGGCACATAGAGTAAGAACTTCTAAGACTGAGATGAGGATAATTTTTTGAGGGTAGTTAGTCTGTGGAATTCTCTTTTTGTAGTGAGCATTGATGGCTGGGTTGTTCAATATTAAAAGCTTTTTTGATCAAGTTATGAGGAGCACAGCTAGGGCCATAATCTGTTGAATAGTCTCATCAAATGGTCTACTTCTGCTTCAAGTTCTTGTCTTGCATTCCACATTACTGAAGCATGGACATAGCAGATGGATCCTTAAGATATAAGGAAGTCAGACTGGATTAAAAACATTTCCAGCAATGAAATAAAGATGTCCCTAGTAAATACGTTTTAATGTTGGTGATAGTTTTAGAACTAATAATTAAGGTACAGGTTAAGTTGACAAGCACTGGAGAGTTTTAAGTTTGTTATGGAGAGCCATTATAATTTAAGGAAGATAGTGCTTAAGTAATCAAATCTGATGAAGTAACACCAGGTTGAAGGAGGGAATGGATAGATTTCCAGAAAGACTTTGAAGTATCACGAAAGCCTTCTTTACATGATCAAGACTTACGGAATAGGAGAGTTGTCAGCTTGGATGCAAAATTGGTTAAGGACAGAAAAAGCAAGTTGTGGTAAATGTTTATTTTCCATAATGCTATTGTCTAAGAATCATTGCTGGGACCTTTGAGTTGGATAATGGAATAGGGAATAACATATTTCAATCATTGCTTATAAACTTGGAGGTGAGGCAGACCACAAAAATGATAAGTTACTGCAACAGGGCATATGCTAGCAGAGATGGTTAGAGAAGTGAAGGTTGATGAATTTTGGCAAAAGAGGTAGGGCAAGGAAGTATAGACTTAATGGCACAGTTCTAAATTGTGTAGGAATGAGGGATCTGGTGGTTCATGTGCTTAAATCTTTAAGGATAGCAGGATGTATTGAGTGAACAGTAAGCGCAGTGTGTGATCTTGGGTATGGTTAATAGCAATATTGAGTACAAAGCAAGGAAGCTGTTCTGCTTTAGCTACGCCTAGACTTGCATCCCATTCTGATGGTTATGAAAATTATTTCGATGAACATTTGCTGGATTGGCTCCAAAGGTGAGGAATTTTAGCTACAATGTTAGGTTTGAGCAGGTGGATTGTTCTCCTTGGCAGGAGAACAATTTTTGTTAGAGATGTGCAGGATTATGACAGGTGAGGTGAATAGCTGTTTGTGTACCAGGTCTCTGCACAGATTCAATGTTTTGGGCATGAAATGTAGGAAGGAAACTTGAACTCCCTGTCTGCAATGTTTGGGGAGCCTGAGGCACTCGGTGGTTGTAAAGAGCGCTTATAGGGGTATGTGAGAAACTTGCAGAGTTGTGTTATAAAGGTTAGGGGAATAGGACTGACTGGATTGCTGTACAGTCATAGACTGTGGATGAATGCCCTATGCTATAATGACACTTGATGCTTAGTGTATAGTGCACAAGAAAACCGAGCCTGTATACATGTGGTCTTCAGCTTTCTTAAACAGAGAAAGATCCTGGATTTTCTGTGGAATTGGGGGTTTATTGTTCACCAATATTGGAATAGACTACAGGTATTTGACAGCATGTGGGAAACATCCTTTTGATCTAATATTTAGTGTGGAAGTGAATGTATATAAAATGGAGATTGAAGCTTAGGTTAACTTTTCAGTCTTGTGTAATGAAAGTTTATTTGATATCTTGTCAGCATGAAGGAAAATATATAGGCTCAAAGTTTTTATTTTGGCATTCTGACTGTAAATGGTTTATGTTTTATATCCTGTTCATTTTACACAGGAAAACCACCAACGTGTCAACATTTTCTTTGATTATGCGAAAAAAACCAAGAATACTGCCTGGTCCTACTTTTTACCAATGTTGAATCGACAGGATCTGTTCACTGTTCACATGGTGAGTGAAGAGTGTAGTGCTGTGACTGCATTTTAAACAAACGTTTGAGCAATAATAAGATTAATAACGCTTTAATTATAGATTGATTTGTCATGGATTTTTATCAGATGAACTTTGAGATCTTTCTGCTACTGCAAGATGTCATCAGTGTAGGTAATGATCATTATGGCAGCGTAGACCAGAGTTGTCCACCAGGACCATGTGGAAGTCCCAACACAGCTGAAATTTAATCGAGCAATTACTCAGTGTCTCAAACCCTCTGAAAATGTTCCTGATTCTGCTTGGAGTTGGTGATTTTTAAAGGAAAAATTTGGGCCAGTATTTATCAATTTCTGCAGATGGAAATGTTTGAAAGCAGTTTTGCATCTCCTGGGACCTCCATCTGTAGGAGACTTCCAGTCGAAGAATATTGAAATGTAATATTTAGAATTACTGTTAGTTGCTGCTGTTGGGTATGTTCCTGTCCATTTAAAAACTGCAAGTTTAGCTAGTATACTTTGCATTCTTCAAGAACACCTTTTATGTGAATTAGAGGTTTGGATGAAAAGGTGTAGCTAGGATATTGTCATTCCAAACTTTCTGGAATTGATCCTTGGATGCAACGTGAGTGCAGTAGATTTCTATGCAAGGTAATTTCTTCTGGCTTAACGCTGCATTTGGATCTCTTGAGTATCACCTTCCTCGGGCAAACATGATTCATAGAATCATAGAACCCCTACAGTGTGGAAACAGGCCCTTGAGCCCAACAAGTCCACATCGAACCTCGGAGTATCCCACCCAGACCCATCCCCCTATAAACCTACCTAAACTACACCTCCCTGAAACACTACGGGCAATTTAGCATGGCCAATCCACCTAACCTGCACATCCTTGGACTGTGGGAGGACATCGGAGCAGACACTGGGAGAATGTGCAAACTCCACACAGACAGTCGCCCGAGGCTGGAATCGAACCCGGGTCCCTGGCGCTGTGAGGCAGCAGTGCTAACCATCGTGCTGCCCCATTGTATCTTTTTGCTGATTTAATGAAAGGCTCCTGCATTGTCACCCAGGTAGATCCCCAGCTTGTACCTACTGGGAACTTTTGTCTATAGTCTGTTTTTTAAGCTGTTTCTCTAGAATGGTTCACCTTCCTGTGAAGGCCCACTGCAATACAGATGGAGTGTTGCATATTTTGAGGCAAAGACAATATTGGTGTATGTTTAAGTATCTTTGATTTGAAAATATCTTTTTATAATGCCATGAATAACCTTGCATCATCCCTTTAAGATGATTTTCAAATTAATGGTGTGGAGTGGCACTGTTAGTACGAAATGTCCCTGTGTGAGCACGTATTGCTGGTTTTCATAGCAAGTTTGAGTTCTGACTGCATTTTTTCACTGTACGTTGTTGGTCTGAATGGTCAAAGTTGCTTGTAGGTGTTTTATTTGATGAATAATCTTTGTCAGAGATACAATGATATTTCTGCTTAGAGATGAGCTGCTGTGTATTTGAAAGACTGCTCATGTTCCCACAGATTGAATTATTTATGTCTTAATGGTTTTTCTTGAAGCATGTGTCTTTCATACATATTTCAAAAGTTTTGTTTTTTCTGTTTTCCAACTTTCTTCTGGATTCCTTTTTTTTTTTTGCTTTGATTTTCCATTAATCTTTTTTATATTTGTCCAAAGGATGTGGGCATTGCTAGCTCGGTCAACTTTATTTCCCATCCCAAATGATCCTTTAGGTGAGCTGCTTTCTTGAATCTCTGTAATTCAAGCATGTAGGTGCACTCGGTGATGTAAAGGAGTGTCAGAATTTTGACCCACTGACTGTGAAAGAACGGTCATAGAATTCTAAGTCAGGATGATGTATGGCTTGGAGGGCCCTTGAGCCTACTTAATCGGCATGATGTGGCTCTATCATGCTACCTTACCCTGAGACACATTTGGCTTCTAGAAACATATTTTGTTTTTAAAGATATTCAGTAACTTGGCCTTTTCAACCTTCTGCAGTAGAGAATTCCATAGGTTAATCACCCTCTGGAGGGATTTCTCCTGATATCAGTGTGAAATGGCCTACTTTGTAATGTGAGATCATGGTCCATTGTCCTGGAGCCTTTGGCCATGGAAAAACAACATTCCTGCATCCAATCTGTCTGGCTGTGTCAGAAGTTTGATGTATTTCAGAGTAATTGCCATTGTTCAGAGCTCCAGTGAATACAGGACCAGTCAATCCAGCTTCTCTTTGACAAACGTACAATCCTAGGAATTGGTCTCTGGTGAACTTTTGTTGCTGTCCATTGTGGCAAATGTATTTTTTTCTTGAGTAGGGAGACCGAAACTGCATGCAGTTCTTCAAGTGTGGTCTTAGCGAGTACAGTTGTAATAAGCCCTCCTTACTTCTGTACTCAAATCCTTTTGTGATAAAGACTCACCCTACCATCCTTGCCTTCTCATTTGTTTGCTGTTTCTGTATGCTTGCTTTCAGTGACTGGTGTAAAGCACACCCACGTCTCTTTATATGTCAATTCTCAATCCGTACCCATTTAAATAACACTCTGCTTTCTTCCTAAAGTGGGTAATTTCACATTTTTCTGTATTATACTGAATCTGCCATGCATTTGTCCAGTTGCTCAACTTGACTATATCTCCTTGAAGTATCTTTGTCTTCATCAATCTTGCGCCCACCAAGTTTTGTCATCAGCAAATTTGGAAATAATACATTTGATTCCCTCATCCAAATCATTTGCTGTACATTGTGAATAGTCAGGACCTGAGCACGATTCTCATCGAAACCCATTTATCGGTGTCTTCCACTGACTGGTACCCTACTTGTTGGTGCTTTTCACTCTGAAAATGACTCATTCATTAAACCTACTATATCCCTTGGTTCACCCACATATTCTACTGGTTACACTCTACAAAAACTTTACGTGTGTAAAGCACATTTATTCATTTATTTTTGTATAATCCTGTTGGTATTTAAGTGCTGTGTTATCACAACCTCTACAGCAGACTTGAGCATTTTTCTTACTACTGATATTTGGCTAAATAGTCTGTAAATCCCAGTTTTCTCCTTCCCTTCTGTGTTGGGATTCCTCGTCTGCTTGGGTGCAATTCCTCCCACTTGTACAAGTCCCATCTTCTTCAGAATTGGCCCCAATGAAGAATCCATATCCCTTCCTTCTACACTCGATCACTTCTTGTTCTGGACTTCTTTGTCCAAACTTCGTTTTCCCAGATTGTTTTCAATTGAGGAAACACAAAGTCCAAGGTCATATAACCACCCTGCATGAATACAAGCTTGCACTGATGCCTTTTTTCCTTTTTAAAACAAAGTCCTCATATCAGTGTTGTCCCTGTGTCTTTGTTAGTTTCACTTTTTTTGTTTTATGAACAAAAACATCAATATCTTGTATATTTGCTGTAATGTTTGAATTGAATCTATGCTACTAGGGGAAATAGATAAGTCAATTTATACGTTGACTATAATTTCTGACTTGGATGTGTTTCAATATTTTCCATTATTTGATTTCAAACATTTGAACTTTTAATTGCTGGAATAAATGTAAAGTCAAAAAGGCCCAAATTTTTATCTACATCAATGTTTCTGAAATGCTGTGTCTTTTACTTTCAGGCTGCAAGAATTATAGCAAAACTAGCTGCTTGGGGGCGTGAATTGATGGAAGGGAGTGATCTAAACTACTATTTCAATTGGATTAAAACTCAACTAAGTTCTCAGGTAATTGTTGGGCCAATTAAACAATTTAATGTTGGGCATAATGCACATAAAATATAAATATTAGTGACGTGCGTGTTATTTTCCTTATCACTTCGTATCAGTGTCACGCTTCATTGGAGTAGCGTGCTGGAATCAAACCCCACTATTCCTGAAGTCATCACAAAGGTTAGACTTTCTGAACATTCAAAATTCCCAAATGTTTCTGTTTTTTAGACCCAGGTTGATAGAAAGCATAGACCAGGTTTCTGTACTTAACAATGGTGATTTACTGCAAATGAATAGATTCTGCCTACAGATGAAGTTTGATGAATTGTTGACATATAACTACTAGTTAGAACTCTGATCCTCTTGTCAAACTCCTCCTCTGTACACAAACCATGGGGATTAAGGATGGAGGAAAAGACTAGGAAGACAGTCATGTTCTCAAAATTTGTTGAGATTGAGAAGCAGCGTCATGATCAGCAAAGCAATCTTCCTTCTCCAAGTAATTTAACTTGACCTTTTCTGGAGCACTGTGCAGTTCTGGTTGCCCTGTAATAGGAAGGATATTATTAAGCTGGAGAGGGTTCAGAAAAGATTTACCAGGATGTTGCTGGGAATAGAGGGTTTGAGATATAAAAATAGACTGGGACTTTTTCACCAGAGCTAGGAGGCTGAGAGGTGACCTTATTGAGGCTTATAAAGTCATAAGGGGTATATAGATAGGGTGAATGACAAGAGTCCTTTCTGTAGGATGGGGGAGTTACAAACTAGGGAGTATGTTTTTAAGGAGAGATTTAAAGGACCTGAGGGGCAACTTTCCTTTTTATTTTGAGGTTCTTGTGTGGAATGAACTGCCAGAGAAAGTGGTAGATGCAGGTACAGTTACAATGTTTAAAAGATGTTCAGAAGATTTGGAGAGAGCTAGTCAAGTGCAGGCAGGTGGGCTAATTTAGTTTGGGAACATGGACTAGTTGGACCAAAGGATCTGTTTCCATGTTGTGTGCTTCTGATTCTGTGACCCTATGTCTTGGTACACAGGGTGACTGGAGCACACACTTGTAAAAGTCTCTGACTTATTAAAAGTCCTGGCTTACAGCAACTGATAAGGGGGAATAAACTGGCTATCCTCGCGTTTTGAGATGCTTTGTACTGCAGAGCCAAAATGTCTTCTGACGGTCCAGTGATTTATGACCTGGACATGTGCACTCCTAAGCTGATTGGGTACATGGGAGCCAATCACAGTTGTTGGTCAATAGTCCACCGACAAGTTCTAGATGATTACAATCAACTGCTTGTTGCCAACACTGTCATTGGTACACAGCTCCAGCTGGTCTGTAATTAAGCTTTCCACAAACAAGTGGTAAGCAGTACATAATGAATGCCAGGTTACTTTTAAAAAGTGAAGCAACCCTTCAATAATTCTTGGTTTTTAAAACTGTCCTTCCCCATTTCAATTCACAATCAAAAATATAGAAAAATGGAAAGACGTGTGAGGTAAATGTACCAATGACAACACCTATTACTGAAATAGGCTACAGATGCAACCACTGAATAAAATGGCAAAATTCTCTATGATTTTATACCATAGAATGTGCTAGGTAATTTTAAGGAAGCAAAACTTAACTACCTTCATGCCAAAGATATAATCTTTGGGTAGTTTTACTCCTCCTTGATGTGACTTTTGTGGTACATTATTATTTTGCTTCAAGCAAGAATCAATACCTATTCTTGATGAAATAAGAGTTTGTAATTTTGAGTGAAAATTCTCATCTGTGCCATGCTAGGTATCGTTTGTGATCACTTTGTAGAAATCATGAAGGATGATTCCTTTTTTTTTTCTAGGATTTCGGTCTCTCATCCCAGTCTTGAGATCTTCTGTTGGTTGACCCTTGACTCTTCCCAACTAGGGATTTGCAATTTTTGAAATTAATCTTTTTTTTTCTTCTATTGCTGCTGTTGCCTGATGCTCTTCCAAGGTCAGCCCTTCCTTTCTCAGTGGCTTTAAAGCCTACTCCTGTTACCAATTTTTAATGCCATTCTGGAAGGCAGGTGCAGATGTTGATACAATTGGAGATGAGGAAATCCCCCACCCCAGCTCCCTGTCAAAGATGATTTTGGGTGGTCATCTGGTGTGGCTGAAGTTGAAGCTGCCATTAGGTTCAAATGGAGAAGCTGCAGTAGTGGGTAGGATTCCAGTGGAGATTTTCAGATATGGAGGAGCAGAGCTTACCTGTCATCTCAATCAACTGTTCTTGAAAACCTGGGACAAAAAAGAATTTCCTGCCAATCTCTAGGATCCCACCGTTGCCAATGCCTTCAAGAAAGGCGATTAAAGTGGACTGTAGGTACTAGTAAAGAATAACCCTACTCCCCATCGCTAGGAAGACCAACACCCAAATCCATGCTAGTGCCTTTTCTTAGTCTCTGAGGAAATCCTTCTTGAAAGCCTGTGGACTTCTGAGCGAACTGTGGAACTATCAATATGCTTTTCACTACTTGGCAAGTCCATTGCCAGGCAACAATACCAACCATTCTACACGGCCTTCAATAATTTGACAGGGCTTTTGACTCTCACTTAGTTGGGAAGTGCTGTAGAAGATTTGTCAAAAGCTGGCTGTCCAGAGAAATTAATGACCGTCCTCCACCTCCTCCACGGTGCGGTGTTGGTGACAGTCCTCACCAATAGTGTGACAGACTCTTTTGAGATCTTGACAGGAGTTGAGCAGGAGTCATTGCTGTCTACCTGTTTCTCCATTTATATCATCACCATCTTGTCAAGAACAAGCTGACCAGTGGTTGTCTACTGGATGGATGAAAAACTTTTCAACCTCAACTGGGTTGAAATGCAAGAAAAAATTACTGACCTTGCTGGTGGAATTTCAGAATGTGGGTGACAATGTCATTGCTGTTCTCTTGAAACAGGATATTCGAGCTTTGCTTAGTGCCTTCATGGAAATATATTGAAGAACTGGTTTCAACTTCAACTTCAACTTCAAGAAGACTCCAATACTTCACCAACCCATCCCAGGACAAATTCCAATCCACTCCTCTATTAAGATCAATAGAACAATCTTCCCAAATGTGGAACATTTCCCCTACCTGGGAAGCTATTTTTCATCTAAAGCTGACAATGTGCAGATTCACCACTGCATTCAAACTGTGAGTTCTACCTTCAGATGCCTAAGAGTGAGAATCTTTGACTACTGTGACTTCCATGCTGATAACAAGGCCCTTGTGTATAAGGCAATCCAACCTGCCTATATGGCTCCAACACTTAGACTGCACACGGATGCCATTTCAAGGCCCTTGAGAAGTACTACCAAAGCTGTTTGAGAAAGATATGCTGCATAATTTGGAGAGCAGGCATACTGACATCAGCATTCTTGAAGCAGCCAACAGAACCACTACTGAGGCCATGATCGTCTGAAACCAACTCCTCAAGGCTGACCACATGCTCAGGATATTTGAGTTACCACTGCCAAAGCAAATCATTGTTGCCCGGTTCAAGGTAGGCACTCGAATTAGAGAAAAACAAAGGAAACATCTCAAATCCTCCCTGAAGGTTACCCTCAAGAAATGCAGCATTGATGTCAACTTGTGGGAGATCCTCATTCAGAAGAAACTGACTTGGAGAAAACTGTATGAAGGGTTGGAAGTGTTTTGAGAACACTTTCCTCCAAAGGAACCAGAGAAAAGAATGACGGTGATCTTTAGGCCAACAGCCAATTCCACCTCCTGGAAATACCTGCCAAATGTGTTTTACAGTCTAGGATCTGGCTCATCAGCCGTGCAAGGGCCAATAGAACCCATGACCAGTGACCACCTAGGAAGTTCTGTCAATCATACTCGTTAGTGAATGGTTGCTGCCACCGACGAGATGATTTTGATGTTTGCCCTATTGAGATCTATTTTAGAGAGAGGGTCTGCCATTTGAAGTCGTCTGTCTTCTAGACAAAGGAAAAAGTATCAATCAATTCTTAGCCACTAATGTCTGAGGTCATGGGGGAGTTGATTGGTCTCTAGATTTCATAATCCTTGGTAAATCGGTCATCAAACTGTGACGATAGTGAATGGGTGTTTTGCTTCTTAACTGATGCTGCTTTTGAGGTTCAAGCTAGAATATTTGTCCCTGTTATCTTGTGTTTCTGGTCTGTTTCGCAGGCCATTCATTCTTGAGATGCCACGTTTTGCCTTCTATGTTTCTTATATGCAAATAGATTTGTGGAGCTTGACAGATTTTGGGTTATATGACAATGCCTTTTTAGCTGTATTCATCTTTGATTAATATGAAGGATGGATTTACAAAGATGCTATGGCACTAAAATATTTGTGTTAAATTAATCCATGTAAGTGTAAGTTTACAATGGATATATATCCAGAATGGGCTCAATGTTTGCGGGTATAGTCTTTCATTTCATGAAAGACTGGTATCTTTTTGCATCTAGAGTTGACTCATTAGTTTTCTTTTTGAAATTCTTACCTATTTCTAATTATTAGCATACCCTTTAAGAAAGCATCAGGCTTGTGAGAAAATCAAATCAATTTTTGTCAAGTCTGAAATCATGCCATTACTGAATGTTTGTTTCACTCTTTTTATCCAGTGAAAGTAATTGTGCTGTACTCCATTATCTATCACTGTTCAAAAGCAAAACACTATTGTAAATCAGAAATTAAAAAATACTGAAAAGGTCAGGTGTGGTAGTATCTGTGGAGAAAGAAGCAGCTAGCCTTTCAAATAAATGACCTGGTGTCACAAGTGGAAAAAGTTGAAGATGTAACAGCTGGGAAAGATTGTGGTGGAAGAACAAAAGAATAAGCCTGTGATGAAGTGGAAGGTGATAGATTAATAAAAAGTAAATGGGAAGGGATAGTAAATGGAGCAAGTGAAGAACTAAAACAATGGATCTAAAGGTGTAAATGACAGTAACAAACTCTCTTTTTTTTTTGGACAACAGCCGTTGGTAGACCAATATTTCTGATCTGAATTGTTGAACTGTGTTGAGCAAAAGGCTGTGAAG